CACCGGCCAGGGACCGATGAACCTTTATCAACTTTAAAATCTGAAGTAAGGACACACGCCTCGGGAACACACTCCTCAGGCCGTGGTTCTGCCGGTGTCTCATCGGCGGCACACTGTGAAGATAAAGCCTTCTCTTTCTGAGGAATGGTTTGCGATGTTTTCTCCATTTTCGAATTCAAAGGTGAGGAGTAGAAGAAAGTGACAAAGATTTGGTAGAATTGAAGAGGGATTTTTGCGGAAAGAAATCACAAATTTACTGGTAAGTTGGAGAGTACGAAGAAGAACTTGGGAAATTTGGAAGATAGAAGATGTAAAAATGGTAAAAGATAAAAGAAAGGGTTATTTATAGGTTCAAGCAATGGCGGTTCAATATCAACAATGGCCGACCACCGCCTGACATGCATTAAATGCCTTGAAAGGCTAAACCGACGGGACAGCTACCAGATGCGTTATGGTCAAACCCAATGGAAACGACAGGATATAATCCGATCGAGCTATTAAAAAATCATATCATTTCTTGCCACATTCTTTCTGAGAAACAAGGGGACTATCTGTATACGGTCAAAATAGATTTTGGCCTTACCACATCCGATGGAGTTCGAACGATGATTTATCGAAGTAAGATCCCGAAGGTAGAACAAACTAACCTCGAACTTGGGGAGGTTGATCCGTGTCGAGTTCGATATCATTATCGAGCTCGAATCAAAATCGAACTATGATGCAAAGTAGATCTATCATGCTGATAATTCAGAGACCAACCAACATTGACCTCGAATCAATTCGAGGGCTCGAGCCAGGATCGGGCTCGAACCAAGATCACGAGTTCGAGCCGAAATCAAGCTCAAACCACAATCGAGGGTTCCAAGCAAGATTGAGCTCGCAGACAAAAGCCGTTACAATCCCACTAGAGAGAATCTTGGCAGAAATTATGAAAAAACTGACTTATCATGGGTCTCCCACTGAATGTTTATTTTATTATGCTTAGAGCCAAATCCCTCCACTATAAAAGGGCTTGGTTACTATTTCTGTAGGACAAGCTTTTTTTTTTTAGGCTTATATTGTAATAAAAGTACTATATTCTTCTATAGTAAAGAATTGTTCTTTCAGATTTCTTACATTGATTCTATTTGTTGAATCCTAAGATTCATTATTCCTGATAACCTTATCTATTTCGCATTCTCTGCAATCTATATTTACCTTTCTATTGATCCTTATATTTTGTGTTAAGTTACGCCACATATCCTCGGAACTGCGTATAAATTCAACTCTATCCATTTTTTGGGTAAACAGGGAAGTTATTCTCTTTAGTCATCTCTTTCTCTTTTCGGGTGACAACAATAACAAGGCTAGAGTAATTTTACAAGTGAAGTCTGTGGAGGGTAGTGTGTACGCAAATCTTACTCTCACAAATGGAGTTTATGGAGGATAGTGTGTATGCGAATCTTACCCCTACGTTGAGAAAGTAGAGAAGAATAATATGTAGTAATAATAACAAGATAATAAGAAACCGGAATGAAAGAAATAACAAGTAAAGTAATAGAAATCCACGAATAAGAAAATAAAAGAATAACACTACTACTACTGGAACTGAAAAGAAAAGAAAAGTACTCGACTACTTATTAACTCTCTACCCTAATTCTCGACCTCCACACCCTCCTATCAAGGGTCATGTCCTCGGTAAGCTGAAGAATCACCATGTCTTGCCTAATCACCTCGCTCCAATACTTCTTAGGCCTGTCTCTACTGCTCCTCAGACCCACCAAGGCCAACCTTTCATACCTCCTCACTGGGATATTTGCGTCTCACCGCTTTACATGCCCAGACCATCTAAGCCTCATTTTCCCGCATCTTGTCTCCACTGGGGCCACTCCCCCTTTGTTCTACATAACTTCATTCCTTATAAATAGTTGAAAAATATAATAAGTAGCTATTTGTTTGTCTTGTTTTAAGCTTACTTTTATTTTGGCAAGTGAGTAAGAATCCACAACAACTATGTAATGACCCAACCAGTCGTTTTGAGCATTAATATTCCATTAAGCTATTTGGAGTCATGATTAGCTTTGTATGATTTATTATGACTTGTGTGTATCATCGCTTTTGGTTTTCAGGTGTTTCAGAATTAGTTTGGAAGAATAAATTTTATGTTTGAAGCTTTAAGTTGGAAGAGTTGACCAAGTTTGATTTTTTAGTATTTGACCTCGGTTTGGAGTTTTGATGGTTCCATTAGGTCTGAATGGTGATTTTGGACTTGGGCGTATGCCCGGATTTGCATTTGGATATTTCTAGAAGATTTCGGCACTAATTGACGAAAGTTGGAAATTTAAAGGTTTGGAATGTTCATAAGTTTGATCGAGAGTTGACTTTAATGATATCGGGTTTGAATTATTGTTTCGGGAGTTGTAATAAGTTCGTTATGTCATTTGGGACTTGTGTACGAAATTTGAATTTATTCCGGGTTGATTTAATATATTTCGACACGAGTTTTGGAAGTTGAAAGTTCAAAAGTTCATTAAGTTCGATTTGGAGTGTGATTCATAGGTTTGATATTGTTATGCGTGATTTGAGGCCTTGAGTAGGTCTTTGTTATGTTTCGGCACTTGTTGGTATGTTGGAACAGGGTCCCGAGGGGATTGGGTGAGTTTCGGATCATTTCCATGTTCTTTGGCATTGCTGATTTCTGGTGTTTCAGGCCTTATTCGCGATCGCGTAGTGTATTATGGGAGTTGAACTTTTTCCTTCTTTGCATTCGTGACTGTCCTACCGCGTTCACCTACCTTTGGAGGCCTGAGCATCGCGATCGCATTGGTCAACCCGTATTCGCGTAGAGTTGAGTTGAGAAGCTGGGGGCTGGAGATTTTCTTCTTTGCTTTCGCATTTGTTTTGTCGCGATCGCGTAGTGCAGGTGCATGTGGTCATCGCGTTCGCATGGGAAGTTTCGCGAACGCGTAGTGTATTTTTGGGGGCTGCTGAGTTTGTTCTTCGCGATTGCGTAGGGTATTTCTGTCGAGTGATTATAAGTACTCTATTTTTGNACCATATGGATTGGGGTAAGTTTTCTCTACTCGGTTTTGATTATATTTGATGAATCTATAATCCTTTTGGGCATTTGGTTGAAGATTACAAAAGAGAAATTGGGGGATTTTTGTCTAAAATTTTATAAAGTGAATTTTCGAGTTTGAGCATGGATTTGGAGTCAAATTTGAGTGAAACTAGTACGGTTGGACTCGTAATTGAATGAGTTATCGGGTTCCGAGGTGTGGGTTCGAATTTGACTTTTGGCTTTTGATTAAAGATTCGATCTTTATCGATTGTGTTTGTTTCCTTAGGCATTATTTGATGTATTTGAGTTGCTTTTGGCTAGTTTCGAGCCATTCAGAAGTTGATGCGCGCGGGATGGAATTTCTAGAGTATTGTTTGGCTTGTTCGAGGTAAGTAATACTTCTAAACTTGGTGCTGAGGGTATGAACCCCTGAATATACGTATTATGTGTTTGGTGTTGAGGTGATGCACATGCTAGGTGACAGGCGTGTGGGGGTGCACCGTGTGAATAATGACTCGATTGATTCCGTGGTATGTGTAGTGACCTAACTTGTTTCTATTCATGAAATTTCTACGTGCTAGAATAATCGAGGTGTGATCCATGTTAGAAATCATATTTAGGATATATGCTTATCCTGTTGGGACCCATTGAGGTCATTTCTGTTGTTGAGTTATTTGCTTAAATTATAATTACATACTCAGTCATACTCATTCATTGCATATCATATCTCAGTCTCTGTTATTATTTGTCTCACATCATGTTATCATTATTTGGGCTGATTGTCATGAGATTGGTGAAGCCGAGAGACCAGAGATATTAATGACTGAGTGAGGCAGATGGCCTGATTGTGATGATGTTTATGGGATCGGGCTGCACACTGCAACATGCTTTATTGATTCATGCCATGATTGACTTATATTAGCGCTTGGGCAGGATCCGCCCCTCCGGAGTCTGACTTACCAGTAGTGAGTGCATGTACCTACTAAGTGCGAGTGCGAGTGCCGAGCGATTGTGATGACTGAGTGACTGGGAAGACTGAGTGAATTGATGCTCCGAGAGTATGCATATAATTTTATCACTGTGTTGCATTACAGTTGGCATGCATAACTGACATGTAGGCATAGAGATGTACTTTCCGCATGCCATCTGATAATGAATCATCCTGTCTATTGTTGAAAGTTTTTGGAAAAAATCACAGTTTTCTGATATACTCACATTTTGGTAATTTCGGTGAAAGATTTGGATTTTTACTGTTATACCTGAAAAACATGGCTATTTTTCTTAACTGTGAACGAGCTGATCATCATATATTTGAGTTATTACTTGTACTGCTTTATTTATATTGTTACGAGTTGTTCTTGGCTGTCGGTGTTGGATTCTGACCATTGTCCAAGCTCGTCACCACTTTCAACCTAAAGTTAGGTTTGTTACTTATTGATTACATGGAGTAGATTATACTCATACTACACTTCTACACCTTGCGTGCATATTTTGGATGCTGATGTTGTGTATGGCGGGAGCTGACATTGAAGATGTACCTGCATTCCTGTCATAACTGCTTCTTGTTCTTGGTAGCTTTAGAATTATTAATCCGTCATGTATATTTCAAACAGATGATGTATTTATTTCATACCAGCTTTGTAAACTCTAAATCTCAGAAGCTCATGATTTGTACTATCAGTTCTTGGGAAGTGTATAAAACTTAAGTTATTTCATCATTTATTTTGAGTAAATCTCATTGAATTGGATTGTTGTTAATTGGCTAACTAGCGAGTTGGGTTAGATGTCATCACGACTAGTTGGATTTTCGGTCGTGCCAAACCAACAAAACTTGAAAAAGTAGTGTCAAAAGGAGATCAAATAATCCAAGTTAATTACTGATGGTCGCAGTAGCCAGCTAAGGTTCACTCTGTATAGTCAATGAAGAAAGAATAAAAAAGAAGGTTGGCAAATGCAGTTTGATCTTTGGTAACTTGATCGCCAAGAGCCATCCATTGACTAAGTGACCCTGCGACTGCTTTATTAACTAGTATAAAATCCTCAATATCTCGTGCTTATACCAGACCACCAATTTCTTGCTTAGACTAATCTTGTTTGTTTTGTACAATGGCCATTAAACCCGTGAAGTACTGTGTGGTAATTTCGCTCTCACTTATTTATATTTCTTGAATTTTATTTTCGTTGTTTTATTTTAAAAAGCCAAATGGTTGTTGAATTCAGGTGGATGCGTTCACTGACGCAGCATTCAAAGGGAACCCAGCAGCCGTTTGCTTACTAGAAGAAGACAAAGATGACAAATGGTTACAGTCCGTTGCTACTGAGTTCAATATATCTGAAACTTGTTATCTCACTTCACTTACCCAATCCAATGAACCCACAAAGGCTAACCCCATATTTGGCCTTCGTTGGTTCACTCCTGTTCATGAGGTCAGCCTCCTGTTTCAAATTCTTCTGGTCTTCATTTTCTCAATTTTCAAACCACTGTTAGTCAATTTAACCACCCAAAAACTAATTTTAAGTTATCCAGTTTTAATTTTATTCTGCTGTCTAATTAAACACTATGTTTGGGATTGAGGCATTGTTGTTGTGTCTTATTTAACACTAGGAAGGCAGTATGAATATTTAAAGCTAATTAGGCTACCCTCCTTGTTACTGGTTGCTCTTCTCTGGATTTGTCCTGGCGGTGAAAGTGTAAATTGAGGCAATGCTAATGAAAAGCTTGTTACTTTCCCCCATCCATTTACTGAATGGGTAAATCTTGTTAATAAGAGTAATTAGACAATAAAGTTTGGAGCTCCTCTTTCTGAAAAATGAACATTTGTTATTGGAAAACTGGGGAAAATGAAAATCCAAAAAGTCGAAAGTATTCATTGAGGCTACATATAATGAATAAAGAGCATCTTAGCCCGGTGGATGCCCTTCTCCACATTATGCCTGATTTATCACTTTTTGTATGTTTTCAAGTACTTCCCTTTTGTAGCACAGAAATTCATTCGCAAACACCTTTAACTGCTTGCAGGTAGATCTATGTGGGCATGCAACACTAGCAGCTGCACACTTTCTATTTGCCTATGGCTTGGTTAAAACTGATACTGTTGAGTTTTCAACAAAATCAGGAATTTTAACTGCTAAAAAAGTTCAAGAAGCCAAAGCTCCAAGTTCTCAGGACGACTGGCCAACAGTTTACTCAATTGAATTGGACTTTCCTGTTGTAAAAGTAGCCGAGACCAATTTTGCTGATGTTCCTGCAATTTCGAAAAGCTTGAATGGTGCATCTGTGGTTGAGATGCTTGAGACATCTAAGAGTGATCTTTTTGTACGTATTTCATCTGGTATTTCCTTTTGTATTTACACGAGTGCATAAGATAAAAATTCATGTAAAAGCAACTCATGCAAGTCTCTCTTACAAAGGTACAAACATGGACATTCAAGAAAGAATTTTTGTTTCATTCTTTTGGAAAAAAAAAATACATTTTTTCAAACTCAGGAGGAAGGGATGCTATATAAAGTTAGTAAAATTAGCTCTTCCTAGGGAAATGAAGATAATTCATGGTGCTTTTGCAGATTCTACTCCCATCAGGGGAGGCAGTGGTGGAATGCCAACCTCAGATTGATCAAATACAGAATATCCCTGGCAGAGGAATAATAATAACAGGACCTGCTCCACAGGGTTCTGGCTTTGATTTTTGTAGTCGCTTCTTCTGCCCAAAGTTCGGAATCAATGAGGTAATTGCTAGCACTTGAATCTACTGTGAGCATATATACTATTGTGTTCAAGCGGATCATAGTCACTGAAAAAGGTGGTACTGAATTTGCACATCCTAGAGAATTGAAGCCAGTAATATAGATAGTATTCATCTTCGTATAACGACAACTGCATATGTAAACATCTATATGTTTGTATAGCTGATGCTTCTTAGATGTCTCACCTGTTCTCTTCTTGCATATATTTTTGTTTTTCTTAAAACAAAACTTTTCAGGATCCTGTTTGTGGAAGTGCTCATTGTGCCTTGGCTCCTTATTGGCGTAAAAAGCTTGGCAAATGTGACTTTGTTGCTTTAGCGGTACTTCCTCTCTTCCTCCAACTTCCCTTATCCCCCTTATCAGGAACCAAATGCACAGGCTGAAATTCTTATTCATGCGTGGACGTGCATTCTGGAACTACTTATACTAACCACATAGTTCTATTTGCCTTATTGATTGGTATTGTTTTGTGGTTCAGGCCTCACCTAGAGGTGGCGTCGTGAAAGTGCATCTTGACGAGGAGAATCAAAGGGTATTTCTGAGAGGGAAAGCTATTACTGTCATGGAAGGTTCTCTTCTAGTATAATGTAGCTAGGAGCGGACATGATAAATTTAATAAATTGGTGGAAGTTTGTGTTTTCTTGAATGAAAACACCACCAACATTCTAAAATCTCTAAATTGGTTTTGGTTATGTACTTCACTATGGCTCTTGGAGCATTTGTAAGTTTCCAGTGTGTTTAAACATTTACTTCTGTAGTTCTGTGCTTTGCATTTATTAATAACATCTCCATCTTTTCAAGCCATTATCTGATGAGAGGGATGGAAGCTCATTAACTAAGTTGTCTATAATGAACTTCGCATACCTACAAGTAGTGCACAATTTGTACTATCATCAAAGTTGATGCAATAGATTATTTTACATTAGGCCTCATTTTTTTTGGTAAGCTACTGATAAAGAAGGAATTCAAGTCCTTTAATTACGTAACAATATTTTTACATTGGCAGCAAAATCGGACATAAACCTAAGCCCATGCTTTGTTTAAACAATTAAAAGGAGGTCTAAGATCATTTCTTCTTTTCCAAATCCTCTTCTTTGTTTGGATACTTATTAAATGCGACAGAACAATTCCTGTACTTGACATCGGATCTGTTGAACCATAAAACTCAGAACAATTTTATTTGATGCAAAACCAAATATCCTCCAAACCATATTCTCGTCCTGCAATACAAGATCAATAACAGGAACATATGGACCTAAAACTGTGATATTTATTCCTTTAGCTTCATAACATACTTTAAAGGGCTTCACCGGCGTTGTCAATTCCTTAAGCTTCATAACATTCCTGCTGGTGTTCAGCAACACCAGCAGGAAGTTCGCGAAGTAATTTGGTATGAGCACATGAAAAAACATGATTTGAGAGAATGCTAACTGAACCTTTAGCGGTAGTTAAAGCAAGAAAATCAATCAAGATTTGGGCCATGTAAACATTTCGAGTAACAGGGTTCTCACTTCTCAGGGAAGTATGCACAAGAGTTTTCAGTGCAACCAGGACCAGGTTTTCTGAAGCAATTTGTGTAAACAAATGTTTGTACAGATCACAGATAGGAATATATTGAAGGACATGTTTATAGGTAGAGGACTTGTAACGAGGACAACAGTCGATCCAAGATAAAGTAGTGGGTTGAAATTTGAAGCGGGGTTTTAAGGGAAACAGAGGAAAGTGGGTACAAATTGGTGGATTTGTCTTTATTAATGGGACAACATGTGAAGAGACGGTACAAATCCATGAATGGAGGACGGGGAAGAAGCAGCTTATGAAAGAGAGAGAGATTTGGACCATAGGAGTGTAGCTGTTACTTACAATTCTTAGGAGAAAGCGCTAGACTATTTCTAATTTGGAACTCAAACCCGAGAACTTTAGTTAAAATGTGAATGTGTCTTATCCATTGATGATAAATTAGTATACAAAACTAGGTTTATATGAATTTTATTCAAAGGCAGCTACTCTGCCTCTTCAATAGATAAAAAAAATTCTTTAAGGAGGGGAAAGGAAAATGCGGGGAAGGGATAACAAGACACAAGGTGAAAAATCAACCCCTACTACAAGAAGAAAGTTCAAATAATCAATTATTTGAACTGTAAATATATAAATTGTTCTTAAAACAATGTGAAAAATAACAAATTTCAAATATCAGAATAAAATGCTTGAAAATCAATAGTAGCAACGACTGCAAATCTTACAACATTCATAAGTACATTCAAACTATATAAAAGGAATTCATCAACGTAACATGGTATATTGTCTTGCTTTAGGTTAATTTCAACTCAAGTTACTAGCAGTGGTAAAGTTGAAATTGGAACATGTGGTGTTGTAGGCCCAAACTAATGAACTAAACCCTAGTCTCTCTTCTCCCAAATCAAATTGCGACAGATTATCCTCCATTTGATGTCCAATTACGATAAACGTCTTAGTCTTAACCCCACTATCCAATGTATGGGGTAAAATTAGTTTATAATAAATGGTCGAATGGTAGCATGACACGTGGAACCAGAGATAGGCAAAAGGCAAGTCAAGCAACAATTAATATTGGATACAACAATTGCAATCGACGAGTAAATCCTGATGGGAGCGTAATCAACGGGAGCAGATCGAGTAGTTGCCAGCGGATAACATTCAAAGAGGGAATATTTTGTAACATTAAATGAGCAACCGTTGAAGAGAATATTTACATTCATGGCCTGCCGTTACGTGCTCATCAATGACTCTTTTATTATCATTTAAGATGAGCTTGATCCTAGGATCTTGTTTTCTTAGGTAAAGCTATAAATAGTAGGCTCAGCAGCCACTGCAAGACAGAAAATTCTTTGCAAACATATGCTGTATTTTACTTTTGCCTCAATTAAACAACTTTACTTGTTCTTTATCATTGCTTTCAATTTTGTCCTTAGAGAAATTGCGCTCGGAGCCAGACTTGTCATCTTTTCAATTTCAATTGATAGATCCAATTTTTAATCTCATTTCTTTATCACTTTTGGATCAAATCAGTTCTCCTGTCTATAAACCACGTAACAAATTTAACTATACCGTTTAACGGGTAAACAGTTGGCAACCACCGTGGGGCTTAGACAGTTGTGTAATTGCTTTGATCCTTGTGTTTATTACTAACTTGTTTGATTTTTTTCTTAGCAAGAAATTAGAAATAACAGCTAATGATGTCAACATCACACACAACGTTGAGGTACGCGAAGATTTGCCTCAACATGAAGACTCAATCAGTGACACCCATAATGAAGGGGACAAAAACAATCCCGGTTTGTGAAGGGCATTACCCTCAGCATGTGAGGGAGCCAACTCACGATGATGCGGGGGAGGAACATTTCGTGGAAACAGTGAAAATCTTAAGAGAACAATCGAAAGCAATCATGAGTCACCTCTCAAGGCAGGATCGGGTGATGACGGAGTTAAAATAAGCATTGTCAGGCGTATCCAATAATGAAAACGGAAGGGTCCCGGTTCCTTCCAGCGTTCCTGCAAATCAAACGACTCAGAGAGTCGTAATAACACCCCAAGGGGTGAAGTCGATTTTGACTGTGCTGGAGGGACCGATAGCGGATCTGGAAATGACAACGGGAATGACCCTTCAAAACTGAGCTCATGAGGTTTATGAGGGAAATGAATGAACAAATGGATCAAAATGCGAAGGAGTTCCACGCCCGAATGGATCAAATTCCGAGCGCACCACCCGTTCTGAAAGGCTCAGATTCGAAAAAATACATGCAATTGCCGTTTAAGCCGAGCACAGTGCCAAAGTTAATTTCGAAGAGGTTTAAAATGTCGGACAGACCAAAGTACGATGGGACCTCAGATCCGCAGTAGCACATCACAACCTACACCACGAATGTGAAAGGGAACGATTTGGCTCAATATGAGATCTAGTCGGTCTTGCTGAAGAAATTTGGTGAAACCCTCACAAATGGGGCCCTGAAATGGTATTCACTCTTACCCGAGTATTCAATTGACTCTTTTGAGATGCTTGCAGATTCATTCATTAAGGCCCATGTTGGGGCAAGGAAGGTCCAAACTAGGAAGGCGGACATATTCAGGATTGCGCAAGGTGAGTCCGAATTGCTGTGGGAATTCGTGATCCGGTTCCAGAAAGAGAGGATGCTACTACCAGTTGTACCAGAAGAGTGGACAGCGGAGGCGTTCACTATGTTTGAATCCACGGAGCTATGACACCTCCCGAAAGTTGAAGGAAAGCCTGCTCGAATTCCAGGCAACCATATGGGCAGATGTCCATAACTGTTACGAGTCAAAAATAAGGATAGAAGACGATTAACTCGGGTTCCTAACATCAACTAAGGGACAGGACTGAGACAAGAACTAGGACAAGTTAAAAAGCGACTTTGATGCAGATCCGAGGTTTTCTAAAAGTTGTTTCCTGCCGTATGAAAGAACCGAGGGACGCATCAGCAAAGGGTTTCGGTCCTCGTATAGGTTCGCTCCCGATAGAAGAACCGATCATGACCGGAACAACAAGTCATTACAAGAAAAAGAGGTACTGGGGGCCCAGGAAACCACATATCCCTAGTTATCGGATTATAACTTCAACATCAGCTTAGTGGAGTTGGTATCGGCGATGAGGAATATCAAAGAAGCATGATTCCCGAGGCTAATCAGTTTTGATCCCAGCTAGAGGGATCCCAACTTGTCGTGTGAATGTCATGGGACTCACGGCCATAGAACTGGGGACTGCCGGCATCTACGTGAAGAGGTGGTGGCATTGTTGAAGAATGGCCATCTCTGGGAATTTTTAAGTAAACGAGCCAAGAATAACTACTGCCGAAGTCGGGACAATACAGAGCCTTCAAAGGCGGCATAGGACTCTCCTCGGTCGACCATCAACATGATTTTTAGAGGGAACGAAATCAACGGTGTAACCTTCTCGGTGGCCAAGAAAATAAAGATATCGGTGACTCACAACAAGAGACTCCCGAAAGTCATAGAAGATGATATCACCTTCACGGAGGAAGATGCTGACAGACTTCTTCTGCCATATAATGACGCTCTGGTAATCTCTATTAATGCTTTATATTTCAAAATTAAGCGTGTTTTGGTTGATCCGGGAAGTTCAGCCAACATCATCCAATGGAGAGTGCTGGAGCAAGTAAAGCTGACTGGAAGCATCATACCGACGATAAAACTCTTAGCTGAATTCAACTTGACAAGTGTGATAACCCGAGGAGAGATCGTGCTGGCCACGAATGCTGAAAGGGTAACCAAGACTACTTTATTCGAAGTAGTAGATGGCAACATGGGCTACAATATAATCCTTGGGAGGTGGTGGATACACAAGATGAAAGTCGTATCTTCGACATATCATAAGTTATTGAAGTTTCCAACACTGGAAGGGATCAAGTAGATAAGAGGATACCAGCCGACAACAAGGTAGATGAACACAATAAGAATTTCCATCAGCAAGGGGAATGATCCCACTAAATAGCAATTACAGGAACCGATGCCTTCTCCCTTCCCAAATGAAGATGATAATGGCGAGGAATCATCTGAATCCCACCAGGTGCTGAAATATTTTCAGGCACTGTAGGAGACGGATGCGACAAAATCAATCGCGTAAGAACTCGATCAAGTGGCCTTGTTTGATGAATTTCTAGAAAGGAAGTTTCACTTGGGAACATGACTCAATCCCAAACTCAGGTTAGAATTTATAAATTTTCTTAAGGCTAACGCAAATTGCTTTGTATGGTCGTACTTGGATATGACTGGTATCCCATTAGAAGTGGCCATGCACAAGCTAAGCTTGGACCCAAACTACCCACCAGTAAGGCAGAAGAAATGTCCGATTGCCTAGGTCAGGAACAAGTTTGTTAAAGAAGAGGTAACCCGACTAGTCAATATCGGTATTATGCGGGAGGTAAAATATCCAGAATGGTTAGCCAATGTAGTTGTAGTTCCGAAGAAGAATAACAAGTCTAGAATGTACGTAGATTATAAAATTTAAATAAGGCGTGCCCTCGTTCCCATTGCTAAATATTGATTAAATGATTGATGTTATGGCCGAGCACGAGTTAATGAGCTTCCTTGATGCTTACTCCGGGTACAATCAAATAAAGATGAACCTAGAGGATCAGGAAAAAACTTCTTTCCTAACAAACTTTGGCACATATTGCTATAAAGTGATGTTATTTGGGCTTAAGAACGTCGGAGCTACTTATCAGAGGCTCGTTAACAAAATATTTGAAAATTAGATAGGCAAAATAATGCAGGTATATATTAATGACATGTTAGTCAAGTCTTTGAGCGCAAGAGATCATTTGAAGCACCTCCAAGAGACTTCGACATTCTGAGGAAGCACAACATGAAACTCAGCCCGGAAAAATGTGCGTTCGGGGTCGGTTTTGGTAAGGTCTTGGGGTTCTTGGTCTTACAAAGAGGGATCGAGGTAAATCCCGACAAAATCAAAGCCATCAAGGACATTCTGGACCAATTGACAAATGTAAAGGAAGTACAAAAATTAACTGGTAGGTTAGCAGCCTTAAGGAAGTTCATCTCAAGATCCTAAGAAAAGTGCCATCACTTCTTCTCACTTCAAAAAAAAAAAAACAATTTCGAGTGGACCGTGGAATGCCAACATGCATTGAAAGACCTAAAAAGGTACTTATCAAGCCCCCCGTTACTTCCAAAACCAGGGGAAGGCGAGTAGTTGCTAATATATCTAGCAGTATCAGAAGTAGCGGTAAGTGCCATTTTAGTCCAAGAGGAAGAAGGTACGTAATTTCCCATTTATTATGGTAGTAAGATACTGTCGGGAGTGGAGACTCGATATCCGCACCTCAAAAAGTTGGTCTTAGCTCTCGTAGTCGCCTCTCGAAAGCTTAGGCCTTATTTTTAGTGTCATTCGATAGCCGTTGTGACAACCTTTCCTTTAAGGAATATCCTTCACAAGCTTGAGTTATCAGGCCGTTTGGCTAAATGGGTAGTCAAAATCATGGAATTCGTCATTGAGTACAAACCCAGGACTGCGATCAAGTCATACGGGCTGACTTCATGGCCGATTTCAGTCCCGGATTAATGCCCTTGGCTGCTAAGGAAGCAGTGTTGGTGTCAAAAACGACATCAAGAGTTTGGACCTTGTTTACAGATGGAGCTTCCAATGTAAAAGGGCCAGTTCTTGGTATAGATTTAGTCACGCCCTCGAGGAAAACTCTGAGGTAGTCCATTAAAACTATTCCGTTAACTAACAATGGAGCCGAGTATGGGGCTTTGGTTGCAGGACTTGAACTGGCCCGAGGACTCGACTCCGAGATCATCGAGATAAAGTGCGATTCCCAATTGGTAGTAAACCAAGTGTACGAGATTATTGACACAAAGGAAGAGCGCATGCTGTTGATGATCAATTTTGATCATCCCTTTTAAAATTAATTTACTTACACATTTACAATAAATATTTTGAAAGTATTTTCTATCAATAAATACCTATTCCTACAAATTAATTAAGTATTATTTTGAAATTAATCACTTAGTATTAGTATTATGTAATTACAAATATCCTTCTATTTTAATACTATTAAAATAATTCTTTAAATGTGCCATAGAGGTTTTTATAATTAATTTAACAAATTACTTCTTAAATTAATTAGATTATTATGTTAATGATTCAAAATTAGTGTTGTAATTTAGAAAATAAAGTATTTTACAAATAATTAATTACAATAATTAATAGTATATTTGATATTTGTAATTTTTCTAAATTTTATTGGAAATTAATTAAGTTTAATTAAATTAGTTTTAAGAAGGTTAAAGACTAAATGGCTACAATTGCAATTGCATAATTAAATACAAAATTGGCCATTCTTTAAATCAAAACCAACCCAATACCCAAGCCCAATCCCATCTGACCCAGTCCAAGTCCACCCCCCTCTTTCCACTTTGGAAATCCGCCCCAACCCACGAGAACCAATCAGAGCATGCTACGACACCCGTCTCTATCACTAAAAAAAAAAAATCAATCTAGGCCGTCCATCCTACAGATCAACGGTCCTTGTTTTATCTCCATTTTCCCTTTAATTTTAAACATCCTATTCGATTTAATCTTAGCCGTTGAAAGTAGAAGATTTAACGGCTCTCATATTTTCACTTTAAAATCTTTTAAAACCTTTACGTGCCCGAATTATCAGGGCCGTTGATCATCAGATCCAATGGCCCATATCTCGTCTCTCTCTCTCTCTTCACTCAGAGATGGACAAACCCCACTCCCTAACCCTAATTCATTTGCCACAAATGACCGCCCCCATTTCCCCTTTTGTCCTCTCTTCTCTCAACTCGCCATGATCAAATCGGTCACAGACCTTGCACAAATTTGTGCAAGGTCACAAATCGAACAGAGAATCATCCTCTTTGCCTTTCCTGTCCACGATTCTCGCCTACTTTTTTCCGTTTTATCATCCAAAATTTAAATACCCAAATCTGAACCCTAGATACAACGATGCAATATCAAGTTGTCAGATTTCTCTCAATGTGCTGTTAAATCCATTGCATGCATGATGTTTCTTCATCATTACCACAGTCCTTCTTTGTCCAGAGGTCAAACGCAGTGACCTCTGGACGTTGAGGTCTTACCCGACGGTCCTTTTGCCTTCAACGGCCAATCTACAACTCAGGTAAAAACTTCATCATTTTCCCATCTGTCTCACTAGATTTTCCCCAATCTTGCTTGCATGACCACTCCTCTGTCATCTTCCATTACCTATGCTTGAATCCGAAACCCTAAGCCATTAAATGGAACTATAAATAGAGCCTTGATTGCTCTCACCTAACATCACCAACCAGACCTACCAAACCTAACAAGAGTCGAAAAATCTCATACGAATTAAGATTTAGTAGCCTAGGTTTCTTTTCTGATTAGTTTCTATTTTTCTTTTGTTTCTGAGTTCCTTCACTGTTCAAGAGCTTGAAACTTTGGTTTTCATACGGCTAAGTTAAAATCCTGTTTGGTCTACTGACCTAGAAAAGGTCAGTACACCTCCACCTTTTCTTTTTTGACTGTCTTATTCGAATATCATGAATATGCTGTTGTCTTTTATTAGTTGCATTCATTTATGATATTTGCCATTAGTGTATAGATGTTATTTCCAGTTCATGATGATGTGTTATTAATTTATGGTCATCTGTTATATTTTTGAGTATCTCTAATAGGTATTGATTGAGTTGTTATGTGACCTTAATGACTTCCATTCTAAATCCAAATAATTTATATGATTAAGTTTTCTTAATATGCCTCAATGACTTCTCATGTTTTCCTAGACTTCAGATGTTCTTTTAATGATTCTGCTGTGATCTCAATCCCTACCACACTATTTTCTGCATTCTGTTGTTCTATAGTCGAGGTTGTTGTTCGATAATTCTAACTAGAACAAACATGAAAGCTCATAGTTTAATCCTTCATCACATAGCTGAAGCATGTGAAGTTTAAGTGTTTAAATGATCTCCTTCTTTATATAAGTGTTTGCTAACTCTATGAGTAGCTTCTGAGTCATTACTATGACAGTCTTATGTCTGAGTCTAATTGTTAGTTACATCTCTAGGTCTCTCTATATGAAACAGTCTCATTAAGGTGAACTTTTATGAACACCAGTAATCATTCTGCATATATTTTGTTATGATCAATTCATCTTTCATAAAATAGGTTATAGTCATGTTTGCTATAGTTTAATGATAACTGTTTTTACAAGATGAGTATAACTACATCATGTTTAGATGTTAATCTTACTTTGCACAACTGCGTTAAACCTTTTTGGTACAATATCTTCCTTGTCTTTAACCCCCTTTATGATATTGTTGACCTAGTCTCATAATGAGTGAAACTCATCCTGTTTTTATAAGATCATAATCTTATTTGAATTATCTATGTGTAGTTGAATTAAAATGCTACATGTACCTCTGTTTGTCTTCATGATTTCATATTTCTATATACTTTTTTGAAACTGCACTCAGTTATCTCTTTCCCTGTTAATCTAAACTGAATCTGGTCTGTAAATCCTAAGAGAAACTTCTTATTGCTACTGCTTGGATATAATAGTTTGCCCATTTCATAATGAGATTAATACTCTTATAAAGAGATGGTTCTGTCATCAATTTCAAGGTTAAGTGAGACTGATAGTCTATGATGTTGTTAAGCATTCTTAGATGTTCCATTTGAATCTACAAACCTGTAGTCATGTTAAAAATTCTGATTATATTCTGGTATCTATAATAATACCTGTAGAGGTTTTTAGCTATGACTGTTTATTTGAACCTTTGTTGATGCTTTAAAGAGTTCCAAGTAGTATTGTTAACCTATGTGTGTTAGTGACAAGACCTGAGTTAAACCAATCTGTGATTAATCTGCTAGGACAAAGGCATCAA